AACAGAATTAAAAATTCCCTGTGAAGGCACTGAAAGAACATTTTCATGTCAACATGCAGACCGTCATCCAGTAGGATAATTTTCTATGATCTACTTGACAGTATGATCATCTGCCATTTGAAAAGTAATCAAATACAGGTCTTCATGGCAGCAAGCTGTCTGATATTATTAGAAACTGGAATCACCTTGCTATTTTAATAAATATGCATATTGTGCCAATACAAAATCAAAAGTTTAGGTTGTGAAATAACTGCAGCTCTATGGGAGCTGTGCCTGTTATCCAAAGGCTTCCAACGTGAGAGTGGTCAGAATTCACAGTCATGCCATTGAGCCGACTATAAAATAAGTCTAAAAGGGAGGAAAGTTTTTGTTTGTCTTTAGTACCACTGCACCCTGGCATTACTTTTAATGAAAAACAGCACTCAAAAGTTGTTAGTGTATTGGATCCCAATATGAGTCATGCTAAGTAAGCTTATTGGGACCCAAAAATTAGTCAGGGATTCGGAAGTCTCCAAAGTTCCTGGGAGGGAGAGAGACTTCAAAGTCAAACTGATCACCTGGCCTTGAGTAGCCAGGTCCTGGATCCTGCACCCTGTTCTCATGCACAGACAGGGTCTTAACCAGTCATAGATTTAGCAGTCCCCTAGTCTTGATTGGCCATGCACTTGCATGCTGGTCCCAAGCCTGGATAAATGGTGAGGGCTGAGGTAAGACCTGGTGACCTACCTTGTAAAAACCTTGCCAAGAAAATTTTATGGAAAGGCTCTCAAATTAATCAGATTTGGTGCCCAATGGTAGGACCCCCAGGTCAGAAGGTATCCAACAAGCTACTGGGGAAGAGCAAGGACCTGCAGTGAGGCATTAATGATGCGCTTGGGGCAAATCCAGCAGGAATCCCAGTTGCTGATGCAGCCATTGGTGAAAGCAAGGGGCTGTGCTCCACAAAGACACATTGGATAGCAAAGTGGAATGTCCGAGGAATAAGCCAGGGTGAATTGGATATCATCAAATGGGAGATGACCAGGTTGAAAATCAACCTCCTTGGCGTCAGTGAGCTACACTGGATGGACAATGGCTGTTTCCAGTCTGAGGAATTCACTATCTATTACTCGGGACATGACACCAGGAAAATGAATTTATCACAAACAAGAAACCCAAGCAGTGGAAAGTTTCTCAGTTAATGATTGCATTATGACCATCCAAATCTGTGCCATGCCCCTCAAAATCACAGTTGTC